TCCATAGGAACATTATCAGTAGGGTGAAAACTCCGCCTACAGGAGCCTGTCCATTGTCCCCAGAGGCAGGGAGCAGGCCCACCCCTGTGGAGGGATGAGACAGCAGTCTGGCAACTGATTGCCTTCAGGGGAGGGAATGCCTGCGCATCTGACCTCCCCTCACACCTGGCTGTTTCCGTATGGTAGTCCTCTTACATCCTTGGAAATTAGACAGCTTCTGGTTGCTTTTTTTTCTCTCCCAAGATTAAAAAAATAATAATAAAAGACTTCTGATGGCTTTAATACATCATGGGAGTCCATTCACTTTTTAAAAAAAGAAAGAAAAGTTTTACTAATGTACTTGATGATGCTTTTAGGATTTTTCAGAAATAATTCTTGGCGTGGAATCTGAAGTAAAAGATTTTCCCAAGCACTCTGGAAATAGGCCCCTTCGTGAGGGCAGACACTTCTATTTCACTCTCGACCTCCTCTGTAGATCGCAGACAGCCAGAAGTCCTGCACAGACTCCGTGTCCAGGAAAGACTCCGCCTCCAAGGTCTTCAGCGACGCTGCCAAGGAAGGGTGGCTCCACTTCCGACCGCTCGTCACCGATAAGGGCAAGGTAGGGTCTGCCCTTGGTCAGCTGCCACAGGAATGAACATCAGAGACACACAGGCGCTGATGAATATGGCAGACAAGACAATCGACGTAGGGGGGAATATGCAGATTAAAGATCTGGAACTAATCATCATTATCCATGTGCACATTTATAGTGAGACTCATGCATATAGTGATTTGTGTACACACACACACGCACACGTGTGCATATATTTCTACACAAAAGTGAAAATGGTTTTAAAAAAACTCTAATCCTTGATTCAGTTGTATACTTTTCATCCTGCCTATCAACTATCCATGGGATAGGTCATCTTTATGTTTTGTCAATGGAAAAAGCAGTCAACATCTCTAAGAAAGGACTCCTCTTTTCTTTAGTAAGCAGCTGATTGAGCTATTTAATCACAGACTATCCCTTTAAGAAGCAGCAATTCCTCATGTTCATAATCTTAAGATTTTACTTTAAGCGCCGGTGGCGTAGTGGTTACGTGTTGGGCTGCGAGCTACAATAGGAGCAGTTCAAAACCACCAGCCGCTCCACAGAAGAAAGATGAGGCTCTCTCTGGTTCGGAATTGTTACAGTCTCAGGAACCCACAGGGACAGTTCCACTCCGTCCTATAGGGTCGCTATGAGTCGGACGGACTTGATGGCAGTGAGTGGGTGGTTTTGTTCGTTCATTTTGTTTTTGGAGTCTCGCTGTACCCTTCTAAATGGCCACCATAATTTCCTTGTTGCATAAATATTTTCAAATCAATTCATGTCATAATATCAGTATGTGCTGCATGAAGTAGACCCCAAGACAGTAAAAACTCCAACTTAAAACTTTTCATGCTCCAACAATTTAATGGCAAGAACATTCTAGTACAACCAGAAGAGTTTAACATTGTAAAGAAAACCCGCCTTGGTGTGGGTCTTCTTGTCTGATGGTCCGAGGCTGGTGAACTGCGTTAATTTAATTCATCGGTAGTGTCGATTGTCTTGATGTCTGTTAGATCACATTCATGATGTACATGTTGTACACCTTGTCTCAGACTTATTTTACTTCTCTTCTGGGCCATTAGTATAGCACGCACTTTAATGGCTTTCTTTTCTGCCTGCCCTGCTACCTTCAGGTTTGGATTCCACCATCCTTCACCTTGGTATGAGCACGGGCCCTGATCTGGTTGCCGCTCCAACACAGTTCTTTCCTCCCCTAACAAGCCTCTGTTCACATCAGTCAGACACCTGCTGCGTGGCCTGTCCATGCGTGCATTTCAGCAGCGTGGCTTCCTGGGCCCATCCTTTCGGAGGGTGAGGTAGCCGAACATCAGGCATTCACGAACTCTCTCCTGTTTTCTAGCGAGTTGGTGGGAGTATTCGGCCTTGGAAACAGATGTATGTCGTGCTCCGGGGCCACTCCCTGTACCTGTACAAAGACAAGCGAGAACAGACGACTCCTTCGGAGGAAGAGCAGCCCATCAGTGTCAACACCTGTCTCATAGACATCTCCTACAGTGAGACCAAGAGGAAGAATGTGTTTCGACTGACCACGTCAGACTGTGAGTGTCTCTTTCAAGCTGAAGACAGGGATGATATGTTAGCGTGGATCAAGACTATCCAGGACAGCAGCAACCTCAACGAGAAGGTGAGTGTTCACAACGACACTAGCACGGTCACCGCTTCTCCCAAAGAAGACGACAGTGCATCAGTGACACACCAGCGTGTTCAGAGAACAAGATGGTCATGTGCCCCATGGTGTCTTAAGGCGCCCCGGTGGCACCTTGAGCGGCTGACCACAAGGCCAGCAGTGTCCATCCGCAGGAGAAAGATGTGGCTTTCTGCCCTTGAAGTGTCATGGACTCGGAAACCCACGGGCCAGTTCTGGTTTTCCCGACAGGTCACTGGGTCGGAATCAGCTCGATGGCAGTGAGCTTCCATTTGAGTTTTTGATATGCTTGCTTACATTTGCATTCAGAAAGTAGCAGTCATCCAAAAGAAGACTCAAAAGTACTGAATTGTAAATGATTTCCAGTGACTGGGGATCATGACTGAACTGGAAAAGTGGGTTATTCATATGCTCGGCGTGCCTTCTTGGAAGCAGCGAGCGGCCGATAAGGAGACCTGTGCTGGTCATTACCTTTCTGTCTGAATAATTCCATACCTGCTTTCTTACCACCGAAACAGGCTTGTGGTAGGTCTTAAGTCCCAGTGAAAATGCCTATCAAAACAAATCGTTGTCCATGCAAAGAGCTGCTGGCACTATGATTACTGTTCACGACATTTATACCGGCGAGACTGAAAGATAGCGTATGGTCATAACAATGATGGGTTTCTAAGTAAACACACATTATCAAAAATCACCTAATGAACGAGTTTTTTGTTCTGTTCTCTTTTAAAATGAGGACTAACATCCAGGGACTTAGGACCTTTTACCGACAGTACTATCAGCAAACTCTTAGCAATGATTAAGTCTGGCTTTTCCGTGAGAGAACTTTTGTTCGTATTGTGAACACGGTTTTTCTTACACATTTTTCTCACCCTTTGTGTGTGTCACCATCGGGGCAACAATGTACAGAGCTCACTTCTCGTACATCAGAATGCCCACATCCACTGAGCGCTCAAGCCGCACCCTCTAATTTAGCCATTTCCATTGTGCCCCAGCCACATGATGGGAACGCCATGGGAGAAATGATGTTGCTTTTGTCTTTGGTAGGTTATACTCTGCCTTCGGTATGGTTAAAAATTAACACCAGATCCTTAGCATGGCAGTCTTTGGACTTCATCCATCCACTAGAAAGAACGCACCTAGACCAGAGTTTTTGCAAACTACTCAGGAAGAATAAGACCTGGGTGTGGGTTTCACCTGGGAGTAAAAGTTCAACGGAATTCCCCTTGAATCAGCAGCAGTACGATAGGCATTCTATTAGGCAATGGAGTATAGTTGTTAAAATCTCACGCACCCAAGTCAGAAAGACCTAGGTGTAAGGGCTCTGTTGCTTGCTAACAGCCCGCTGGTGGCTAGTTAAATTATCCCTGGTAAGCTAGCATTTCTGCATCTGTGAAGCACATGATTGTTTTGAGGGTTGAATGGGCAATGCTTCTAAAGTATGCAGCGTACTGGTATTCACTGAACATGTGCCGTGTCCCTGGCACTGTTTTAAGTACTTCGTATTAACTAATTTCAGCAATCCTACATATACATACTAATATTATTATCATCACTGGTGGCATAGTGGGTTACACACTGAGCTGCTAAGCACATAGTCAATGGTTCAAAACCACCAGCCTCACTGACGGAGGAAAATGAGGCTTTCTGCTCCTGTAAAAAGTTACAGTCTCATAAACCCACAGTCGGTTCTGTCTTCTCCTGTCGGGTAGCTGTGAGTCAGAATCAGTTTGATGGCTTTGAGTTTGAGTTTATTTTATAAAGGAGGAAACTGAGGCAGAAAGAGGTTACCATATATACTTGTGTATAAGCCAAGTTTTTCAGCACATTTTTTATGCAGTTTTTGTGGTAAAATTAGGTGCCTTGGCTGATATTCGGGTCGGCTTATACTCGAGTTTATGCAGTAACTTCCCTAAGGTCAGGTAAGTATCAAGGCTCAGATTTGAACCCAAGTAATCTTATTCCAAATCTTACCCATAAGATCTCTCAGCTTGGAATTGGAAGACTATTTGAATTCAAGGTTGTTCAACTCTAAAGTTCATATTCTTTGTAAATTGTTGTCATTATAATCAAAATGAAGCAATTTTTTTAAAAAAAAGGTAATGTGGACATATGCCAGTGTATAATTGGGATCTGTGTTGTTATTAAGGAGCCTTGGTAGTGTGGTGGTTACACGCTGGGCTGCAATCTGCATGGTCAGCAGTTCAAAACCACCAGTAGCTCCTCAGGAGAAAGACTGGGCTTCCTACTCCCATGAACAGAGTCTCGCAAACCCACAGGGGGTCGCTATGAGTCAGCAAGGACTTGATGGCAGTGAGTTAGGTTTGTTCTGGTGTTGTTATTAGCTGTTGTTGAATTGTTTCCAACGCCTGACAGCCCCAGCACTGCTTCTGAGTGCTTTCAAAGCTATGACCCTTAAGAAGCGGACTGCTAGGCTTGTCTTTCCAGGTGCCTTGGGCTGGGTTCAAACCATCAACTTCCCCACTAGTTGACAAACGCTCAACAATTTATGCCACGCAGGAACTCCTTGATGTCTACAGAAAAACAGGAAAAAGAATGCCATTTCTCTATTTGATGGGGTTACCATATGGTAATCATAAAAGACAGCACACTTAAGTTGAAACACTAGTGTTATGCTTTTATTATCCCATGGTTTACTGCTACTGCTGATACCAAGCCTTAACCTCTGTTTCTACAAATTAATCATTAACAAATCCTGGCAGTATTTTACCATTTTTTTCATGTGTGTTTTATTTCAATATTGATTATTCTTCCGGGTATTAGGGAGGGAGAAGAAACCAGTTTTCTGCTCCTTCCAAATCTTTTATCCCCCAAACCCTTCCAAACCCTAATTCAGTAGGTATGAATGCTTGTCTTTAGCTCTTATAGGGATACCGAAAATAAATAGAACACTTTCGGCAGTGGGGAGCATTTTGAATCTGGTGACGTAGAATAGAGGTTATGAACTAGTTTCGCGTTGAGTCGAGTATCATGTTTGTATCGAAGAAGGAAAGTAGGATGATAGACAGCCTCAGAAAAATAGGAATCTCGATTCATGTGCTAAAATTAACCTACGACTGCGTTCTGTTCATGCTGTAGGACACGGGCGTGACTAACACGGATCTAATCAGTCGGAGAATAAAGGAATATAACACCCTGATGAGGTGAGAATCCAACCATGCCCAGATTAATGTGCATGCAAAAATAGGTAACCGTTAAGAAATGTTTGCTTATTTATTTATTCTTTTACAGCAAAGCAGAACAGTTGCCAAAAACGCCTCGCCAGAGTCTCAGCATCAGGCAAACCTTGCTCGGTGCTAAATCGGAGGCCAAGACGCAAAGCCCACACTCCCCAAAGGAGGAGTCGGAGAGGAAGCTCCTCAGTAAAGGTGCGGACAGATGTAACAGATAGAATGCTTTAACCTTGAGATCTTGTCTAGAAAAGAGTTCAGTGGTGTTGTGTCCCTTTTCTGCTGAGCTAGGTTTGGATTCAGCTGGTTCAAAGGTTATGGTGGCCCGCTGTCAGATCATGAAGCTTTCCCTTTTAAGGTGTGGGCCAGAACTCCAGCTGTTGTTAACAAAGACATAGTGAAGGGAAGTAGAACAGACAGTATCTCTGTCAGAGACATTGTAGACCTAAAAGACTCAGAGGGCCCGGATCTATCATTGTGAGACACCACCATGATGTTCCCTGGTAGTGAAATCTCACTGTGGAGCGGAGCTTATGTTCTTGGCTGTTAAAGAAATGAATGGGACAGATTAGAAATAGAATTGGTACCTGCTAAATAGCTCAACAGGAATGCTATCTTAAGAAGGTATGTTTTTTATAAATGTAGTCCATATAGATAGTCATAGGAGGGGGTACCCCCCAAAAAAAACACCCGGAATTTCCCCACCCCAAAGCTATGCATTTAAATTTTTTTACAAAACAAACTTATCACCTTCAAAGAACTCTCCATTACATTTAATACATTTGTCAAATCTGCGATTCCATTCTTGCAAACATTTTTCAAACTCATCTGTTTGGATGGCTGACAGCACGTCCTTTGTTTTTTTCCCCTTCACCCCTTCTACATCATCAAATCACTCTTTTTATGTCCCTCTTCATTCGGGAAAGCAAAAAGAAGTCGCATGGAGCAATATCAGGTGATTCAGGTGCATGGGGCAAGAGAGGCATGCTATTTTTTGCCAAAAAAACTGGCGAATTGAGATGGCTGCATGAGCAGTGCGTTGTCATGGTGGCAAACCAGGCCCTCATCTGCCACAAATCAGGCCATTTTTGCCACATACTGTTACACAATCTTTGCAGAACCTCTGGATCAGTGGTTCTCAACCTTCCTAATGCCGCAACCCTTTAATACAGTTCTTTATGTGGTGGTGACCCCCTAACCCCAGAATTATTTTTTTTGCTACTTCGTCACTGTCATTTTGCTACTGTGATGAATCGGGCGACTCCTGTGAAAGGGTCGTTCAACCCGCAAAAGGATCGCAACCCTTAGGCTGAGAACCGCTGATCTAGATAGAAAGCTTGCTTAGCATTCTGACCTGGTGGGACAAACTCCAAATGCACCGTGAGTTCGGGAGGTTGACGGCAGAGCAAGGTTTGTCATCATTTGACACAGCGGTTCTCAACCTGTGGGTCGGACCCCTTTTGGGGGTCGAATGACCCTTTCACAGGGATCGCCCGATCCGTAACAGTAGCAAAATTACAGTGATGAAGTAGCAACAAAAATAATTTTAGGGTTGGGGGGGTCACCACAACATGAGGAACTGTATTAAAGGGGCGCGGCCTTAGGAAGGTTGAGAACCACTGAATTGACATTTCAACTTTTTTGAAATGAGAAAACCCCTCGTACATTTGAGTTTTTCCCATAGTGCTGTCCTTGTAAGCTGTGTTCAACATCACAACAGTTTCTGCAGCATTTTTTGCGAGCAGGAAACAAATTTCACAGCCACATGCTGGCAGTTCTCTTAAATTGGCCATCACAAAAAAAGAAATTCTAGTGAAACTGCTTTTCACAAAAAGATTCACTGTGGCCAAAGAGAACCTTCCCAGGCAACACCACTGGGTGCACTAACTCAGAGCTAGTTGTTTGATGCTCACCCAGTGGGGGGAAATGCTTACTACGAAAGCTCCACTCCACCCAGCACAATTCCGGATTTTGGGGGGTACCCCTCAGATGTGAATAGCCAGATACCATATGTGTGTGTGTGTGTGTATAATTCCAATTTATGTAAACATTGTCAAGGATTTTTAAAGCCGTATTTTAAACACTCTTATTTTCATTTCCTTTGTATTTGATTTTCATAAAAATCAAAAGATGATACCAGCCCCCCAAAAGACAAAGGCACCTGGAGAAAGGGCATTCCGAGTATTATGAGAAAGACGTTTGAAAAGAAGCCTACTGCTACAGGGACATTTGGTGTCAGACTGGACGACTGCCCCCCAGCTCATACTAACCGGGTAGGAGACGACAGTGGATTTCCTACAGTCATTAAGCCTGTTGCAATCGTAATGGAACCTGAAAGTATACGGTCTTTGGAGAGGCCGATCTGTTGAGTATTTTCATCACCATCGCAATCCTCAACGTCCCTAAACACTTCTGAACTCCCAGCGCGTGCGGCATCCGTTTCTCTCCGCAAGCTTGTTTCAGATGTGTCGAGTCTGAAGCACAAGTCGCTAGGGTTGTCTTTGACATAGGTCTGAAATGGTGGGCATGCATTTATTTTCAAACTCATGTGTTTCTGCTTTTAGCATCTTAAAATAAGGATGAAAACAAGGACCTGATTCAGAAAGGATAATAAGTGTGTGTGTGTGTGTGTGTGTGTGTGTGTGTGTGTGTGTGCGCACGCGCACGCGTGTGTGTGTTCACAACACCCGCCCTTGTTAGGGTTCGAGTCATGAGTGATGGATGTTGTTCCCTCCCCTGTTCTTTTTCTTTGCTTTCCCCCCTTTATTCAACCAAACTTCCTCACAGTCTCCGTATTCTGATCTCGCTGTAGGCCCTTCTCTTTCTGTCTGGACCTGGTCACTTGCCCCACTGTCCGGCCACCTCTTACTGCTTTGGCTCCTCTCAGCTCCACACTGCCTCTCGACTCTGTGGTACATCGTGGCAATTCACATGCCTCCTTTTTGAATGAAAAGGTCCCCAGTGATGATGCAGCGACCAGCTAAATCTAAACACTCGTGTTGTATTGAATCAGATGTTTGTCTCTTGTCTTACAGTATATCCCATTAATAGTTGACATATGTTGCAAATTAGTTGAAGAAAGAGGTCTTGAATACACAGGTATTTACAGAGTTCCTGGGAATAACGCAGCCATCTCGAGTATGCAAGAGGAGCTCAACAAGGGAATGACTGACATTGATACACAAGATGATGTAAGTGTGTTCATTTCTATCCGAATGCCCACCCCACTTTTTTCTTTTTTGTGCTGTTGACTCCCCAAATACTGTGTTTTCTTTTTGCATACCTAGAAATGGCGCGATTTGAATGTGATAAGCAGTTTACTAAAATCGTTCTTCAGGAAACTCCCTGAACCTCTCTTCACCAATGGTGAGTTGCGTCCCATAAGAGATACAACCAGATGAAGCCATTTGAGATTGCAACTTTTCAAAAACCATACATGATTAGATTGAACCAGGGGAAAAAAGTTCCTGTCAGAGGCAGCTAAAAGTGTGATTCTAGTTCCTGTTCACGCAGGAGAAGCAGTCATGGTCTGGACAGAAGCATAATTATGGCTTGACACATTTACACGGGAAATTGCAAGTTTTAAACATGGTTTGGGTTCCATATTTACTTTCAGCTTCTCCCATGGGTGTAGTCAAATTAAAAACACAGTATTATTGTTGTCAGTCCAAATCTTCGGACACAACAAAGTACAATTATTGGGAGGAAAGAAAAACAAGCAAAAAATTTTTCCAGGCCAGATGAATATTTGAGTGACATCTTCTCTGTAAAGGAAATGGTATGGAAGACACTGTCCTGGATGCTGTGGTCGGGGCCAGAAAGGGAAGGGTCGGCTGTCAGAATTCAGGATGGCCTCCAGAGGGAGCTCACGCTCGGAGTTGGTTGTGTAGTGTTACTGTAATAGAATGAATGCCACAAGTGATGGCCTGGACACACCGAAATGTATCCGCTCTCAGTGAAGGAGGCTTGACGCTGGAATTCAGAGTGCCAGGCCTAGGAGAAGACTCTCTCTCTCTGTCAGCCCTAGGGAAAGGTCCTTGACTACTTTCAGCATCCATAGGCCCATCATTCCTTAGCAATCACCAAGTATCGTCACATGAATTTCCCCCTGGATCTAGGTCAAGAGGCAGCACTGCACTCCTACCCCTGCTTCCTTGGTAATAGTACATCCCTTTGCTCTCTGCTGGTCTCTTTCTGGTCTGATCTCTTGTAAAATAAATAAATGTTGCAGACCAAGCCCAAGGGAAACTCCCCTCACATAGGATCAGGGATGTGACATATCCCATCGGGAGAGATCACTGGATTACTGCCACATTGCATCGTTACATGGCTGCCACATTGCATCACTGCTAACCCCCTGAGAACCACGGCTCAGCCACATGGACACACATACGGGGGAGGTGGGTACAGTTCAACCCATCATGCAATCCAAGATACGTTGTCAAAGAGTCTTATTTGATGGTAAGGTTGGAGGATCGTTTAAAAGTTACAGCCGTTCTAGAGACACTTCCAGAATGATTTGGGGCCTTCCTATTTTTTCTTCTTTTCAATAATTGTGGCTTGAAATTGAACGCTCAAGGAAAAGTAGACTGACTCACCTGAGCAAGTTTAGAGCATTGTATTTTGTGGTTCTTGTCAGATAAATATGCCGACTTTATTGAAGCCAACCGTAAAGAAGACCCCCTGGAGCGCCTGAAGACATTAAAAAGACTAGTAAGTATTGGTTTATGTTTCTGGTGGTAGGACTGGACTTCATCGTTTGAATATTTCAAATCCTTCATGAAAATAATATGTTTCAGATTCACGATTTACCCGAACATCATTTTGAAACACTTAAGTTCCTTTCGGCTCATCTGAAGACGGTGGCAGAAAATTCAGAAAAAAACAAGGTATGTAAAGTACATACCGAAGATAACGTATTTTGAATGAGATCAGGTGGAAAGGTATGCTTTATGAAAACCAATCAAAAATAGGTTTATAAATCAGCAAGATCAAAATGCATCAAACAGGCTGTTAGTGATATACAGGACGATGTAAGTGTTTTTCTCTTTGAATAACTGCCCTAACGTTTCCCCGTCCGTGGTGTGAACTCGAAATACTATGATTCTGTGTTGTCACGTGAGAGGAAGCATGTGATTAATTAACTAACACTCAGACATCGGCCTGGTGTGTGGCAAAGCAAAGTGCTTCAGAGACTTGGTTAAAATAAAAACTGATCAAAAAGAATATTTACAGACATTTGAGTCTTCGTGCATTATGAAAGTAGGGTGGCCCTCGGGCAAATTGCAAAGCTCTTTTAACTTTCCGCACTCTGTTCACTTTCAGGTTTTGCAGAAAGAGAGTTTTCCTGTTTTGTTTATTTGTTTCCTTAGACTTAAAAACAATCACTCTGGTATTAATAGTTTGGAACCAAACTAATTGCTTTCTCCTTTATTTTTAATTAATTGCTTTTAAAGACTTCTTTTGGGGGGGGATGTTCATTGATAAAGCATTTCATATTGCCGATAAAGTAGAAAAAAATGTACATAGACTTTCTTATGGAAAAAGTTTTCCTAACGAGGAAGCATTGTTTTTGTTTCTTTGTTTATTTGTATGTTTAGTTGGATATTCTTCTTTGAATTCTTTTTTTATCAATAGAGCCTTTCAATCTAATATAACAGATTTTTTCCCCTTTATGTGTAAACCTTTCTGTCACAGTCCATAGCATGTACTCTCTTTTAAAGTCATGAAATCCATTTCTCTAATTCAGATATCTTATGGTCATCTTGGCATTCTTCCCCTTGAATTGGTATGGTTCTTCCCACCCCCCCGCCCACCCCCAATCCATTTTATCAGTAGCTAATCCAGACCACATCTCATTCCATTGTTCAGTCTATAACGGGAATTTAAGCCTACTTTGTTCAGAAAAAACACCGGGTGTCTTCCAGTGTCATCCTTTGTTTCAGATGGAACCACGAAATCTCGCCATCGTTTTTGGCCCCACTCTGGTGAGGACATCAGAAGATAACATGACTCATATGGTGACCCACATGCCTGACCAGTACAAAATTGTAGAAACCCTTATCCAACACGTAAGTGGATGGTCCGTCTCTAAGAACATTCGTTTCGACGAGCAGCTGTTATTTGGTTGGACAGATTGTGTTATAATGCTTTTTTTTTCCTGTGAAAAGTTTTAAAATACTCTTTTTTCAGTACCGCCCTCCAAGATAAAGCTGTATTGAGATGGGGAGGATATTTCACTTCTCTTTTCACCCTTTTCCGTTTTAAATTTTAGCATGACTGGTTTTTCACAGAAGAAGGTGCCGAAGAGCCTCTTGTAAGTATTTTCCGCCAGCTTCTACCCTGTTTTTTCCGTTTGGGATCCAAGATCCTGGTGCTCCGACAAAGCCAGCATCCTGCTTTGTGCGCGCTTGTCTGCTTTGCGCCCCGGCAGCAGGCCTCTAGCCCCTCGGATTCTGACCTAATGACAGTTCAAGTATGTGCAGACGCTGCAGTTAGTTATGTACAAACAGGGTGAACCAAAGACAGACAGACCCAGCACCGATGCTCCACTCGTCATGTGTCTCTCACTAAATGTTTGAATGTTAACATACCTTTGAAGAGATGCTGAAGAGCTCTTTGTTTATTAACCATAGACAACAGTGCAGGAGGAAAGCACAGTAGACTCCCAGCCAGTGCCAAACATAGATCATTTGCTCACCAACATTGGAAGGACGGGCGTGTCCCCGGGAGATGTATCAGGTAACTCTTGCCTGAGCAGAATTGCTCTCGTGGTTCAAAGCTAACTTCTTATAACGTGAAAGAGCAAATCAGTCATTAAGTAACAAGTTCACTGTGATTTTTCTTTTTTCTTTTTTCTTTCTGTTCTCCTTCCTTTCTACTACTAAAAAACATGATCTTTTCCTGATCGATCTTATGCTCTACCAGTAACTGAATTGCCGTTGGCAGTGCATGGAGTTTGTAATGCTTGTCAGAATGGAAATAGGAGGGAAATGAGCATGCCAACCACACTGTTTTTGTTCTTTTTCCTCCTTCCTTCCTTTTTTTTCCCTTCAATTCAGTTTCCATGTAATAGTCATCACAAGGTGAAACAGAGCTATGCTACTGAGTACGAGGCTGCTGCAAGGGTAGAAGGTCTGACCCAGACGATAGAAAGAATGCAAATAGAGCTCTGATTCTTGAGCTGGAAGCTCTGTTTCAAAAGCGGCAACATACATGGATGGATGGATGGATGGATGGATGGATGGATGGATGGATGGATGGATAGATAGATGTGTGTGTATGGAACTGCTTAATGAGCATCATTTTCTTGAATGCAGTATATTATCCTCATTATAGATGTCACAGTATAAATCAGCCTCTGACCCAATTTGTCCTCTTCTGTTTTTGATTGCCACGCCCTCAGGTTTGGTGAAGTATTAGTTTTGATAGTCTCTTGCTGACAAACTGTTGCACTAATCTAGCATGTCGTTTCACACAATGTTCTCCCGTTGTCTCTAGCTCTTGTTGTAGTCCTCGGGGGTCTTTTTCTCCAGCACTTACTGACACAGGCAAATCTATGCTGATGTTGAAACAGGCGAAGTGGGAGGAGTCTATCACACGGTCATGTCCCTAGTGGATTCGGTGGTGTCCCTGATGGACAGCTGGAACTGTAGGAAGAAGGAGGACTGTTGCCCACACTGTAGCTGCCTGGTCTGCAGAAACCCCCGGTTCTTATAAATGCAAAACCCAGTCGATCTGTGGTGTGCCATTTCTCGTAAGCTGATTGTAAACAGGTCACGACGACTTTTTTTAAAACAGTTTTTCTGCTGTTTCTTGTTATTTCTGAAGCAGACCCTGAGGAGAAATAGCATGGTACGGTCTCCCAGTTCTTAAAGTCATACAGCATCTTAGCCATGTGTCAAAAAGGGGCGTGGCACGGGGCTCAGCACACTCATTTTGAAATTCCATCTCCTTCAAGTGTGGAAAGATTCCATTCCAAAATTGCAAACCATCCTGAAGAGTGCTAGCCCCTTTCTACGCTCTTTGTAATTGTACAATCTGAGTTTTTGCCAGACAGTGAAATACGGTCTCCATTTTTTTTTCCATTCTCATAATAGCATTTGTTACTGGACAAGTGCACAAAAACTGGTAGCGATTTAACCAAACCCTAGCCAAAAGGATCCCTGGCTTGCACTGATAATAACAGGGCGTCTAAAGCCCAGAGGTCAGCGTGCTTTCATGCACGATCCAAGTGGGCTGGAAGCGGGGTGATCCCGATGCTGCTCTTCGCAACCCAGCGCATATGGGATATGCAATGGAATCCAAGGAACTAAGTTTAACAGTCTGACAAAAATCAAGACGGCCTCACCGAGCGTCTCAATTCGTAGCGAAGGCAGCCAACCAGGTTACACGTCCTGCATTGTCTATCAGTTCCTGATACAGGATGTGGGACAGAGTGCACTTCTGGTAAAGGTCTTCGAGCTTCCTGACTGCTAGATCGAGACTGTAGAAGAGCTGACCCACACTGGTCTTTCTGTTTCTGTTCAGCGCAGGGCTCCTTTGCCATTCCTCTCATTGAGCTGGTTCTGCCTACAATTCACAGCATCCCTCCATGGCGGTGGCTTTCTGTGGTGCAGCTTGCATCTTTGTGAGCTCTGACTATCCACTGTGCCCTCTGGTTTTGTTTGAATTCTGCTTTTCCATTTTGTTCCGTGCCTGTCTTTTCCATAAGTTTTGCATTGTTTGTTGAAAACAGCAAAGATGGGCTAATAATGACTGTGTGTTTTTTGTTTTTTTTTAACTTCTCACAGACTCAGCTACTAGTGACTCAACAAAATCTAAGGTAAATTGTTTCATACAGCTCCTGAAGGTTCCCCCACCCCCACCCCGGAGGGGATGGAGGGTGGTTTTGGTTTGGCTGATGGTTATGACTAGTATGCAAATGTAAAGCAGCTCCTGTTGTAGCTGATGGGACGGCAGAGGGCGAACAGTAATCAATTTAATCTTAGGCTACGAAGAAAGAATGAGTTGAAATGTGAAGTTTCTCTTAGTGTAGTTGACCCTAATACAAAGAACTAGGCTTTTTATTTTAAAAAATCAATTTAATATGAAAAATGCTTAACATCAAAAAGTAGAGAGAAGCATCTAACCAGCCCCAATTTACCCATCCGGGAACCTTGGTGGGATAGTGATTTATACCTTGGGCTGCTAACCGCAAGGTCAGCAGTTCAACATCACCATCCCGCGCCTCTGATGAAAAGATGAGCTTTCTACTGCCTTCAATTGATACATTCTTGGAAGCCCACAAGAGCCAGAGTTCTGCCCTGTCCTGTGGGGTCTTCGGAGGTGGACTAGACTTGATGACAGCGAGTGGAGGAATGTACCCATCCAGCTGCCCAGGCAGATAAGTGGTTAAGTGCCCAGCTGCCAACCAAAGGGTCAGCCATTGGAACCCACATGCCCCTCCCCACACCAGAAAGACGGAGCACTCTGCCTCCACAAGGAGCACCGCCTGGAAGCCCTCTGGGACTCTGCCCCAGGCCGTCTCTGTGGGTCAGGGTGAACTCGAGGGCGGCAGGAAGTGCCCATTATTTACCTTCCACTATGGTCACTACCTGACCAACCCTGTTAGCTGCTGCCCCATCTACCTGCCTCCTCCTGGGACTATTTCAAAGCAAACTCCAAACTTCATGTCTCATCTGTAAAGACTTCAGTACCAGTGTAGGCGTTTTGCTTTTTATGCATTCTATATAAAATTGCTCTAATTACAGCAAAATTGTCTATTTAAAAAAAGTACATAATTTGTATCCCATTGAAAGCAACATCAAGACTTACACAAGACTATGAGTTGTTTTTAGAGAGCACTTACAGTTCTTGGAAAGTGTGTATTAACTCAGTTTGTCCAAACTTTGCCCTGCTGAGGCAGTAGCAACAGGGAGCATCAGTGAATTTTTAAAAATAATATTAATATTTAGGAATAGGAGGTGAATTGTACATAACTATGTTTAACATGATAATGGAATTGCACATGATTAAATTATCATTGTTGCCAAAAGTCATAAGGAAATGTGTAATGTTACAGAAATCACACTTGCTTATGTTGTGATCTGTGCCATCTTTTTGCTTTAATGTTTTTATTTGAAGCCGACAGAAAATTTGCTAAAATAAAACAAGTAGCATCCAAGCCTGTTCACCACACGCAATCGCTGTCAAATCTTGACATTTGTTGGTTACCATCTGAGAGGGACTTGTGAATGGGAAAACTTTTTTTGGGGGGGCGGGGCATTTTAGCCTTTCCTTACTTTATCACGAGTCTCCTGAAAACAAGGGCATTCTCTCGTGTCATCACAGTATGGCGACCATACTCAAGAACTTTAACATGAATACAATATAAACTTTTCTAACGTGTAATTTTTATATACCGTATATACTCGCGTATAAGGCGACCCGAATATCAGCCGAGGCACCTAATTTCACCACAAAAACTGCATTAAAAAATGTGCTGGAAGGGAGGGTGGGTTGGAAAGGGGGAACCGATTACAAGGATCTACATGTGACCTTCTCCCTGGTGGACGGACAACAGAAAAGTGGGTGAGGGGAGACGTTGGACAGGGCAAGATATGACAAAATAATAATTTATAAATTATCAAGGATTCATGAGGGCGGGGGGAAAAATGAGCTGATGCCAGGGGCTTAGGTGGAGAGCAAATGTTTTGAGAATGATGAGGGCAATGAATGTACAAATGCGCTTTACTCAATTGATGTATGTATGGATTGTCATAAGAGTTGTCTGAGCCCCTAATAAAACGATTTTTAAAAAATAAATTAAAGTGTGCTGGAAAACTCAGCTTATACACAAGTATACATTTCCCCAAAGGCCCCGATAAATTTCTTAGCCTTTTTTTTTTTAAACTAGAAGATAACACCTTAATTCAAACAGGCCTGTTTGAAAGCTTTGTTTTACCTCTCCCTAAATACATGTTCCTTAAACCTATTTTAACAGCAGTCTCTTCATCATAACCCTCCTGTTGTGACAGGCCTGCCGTTTAATGGTTAGTCGAGTGGTCTTACCCATTAACAGCTTCTCAAATGTGAAGTAAATAGAGTTCATTTGTGCTAACCTGTACTGATCTCGAAGAGGAGCCCTGGTGGAATAGTGGTTCCACGCTGGGCTGCTAACAGAAAGAGAGAGAGAGAAAGAAAAGCCAGTGGTTCAAGCCCACTAGCCGCTTCAGGAGAAAGACAAGGCTGCCTGCTCCTGTAGAGGTCACAGTCCCAGGGGCACCATGTAGAGACCCTGAGTTGGAATCAACCCAGTGGCAGAATCAGAATTTTCAAGGAAACCTTATAGGTCATCTAATGTGATCACGTCACTTAAATGAAGACTGACATAGCAACGTCTCACATGCTGGCATCATGCACAGGAGCTAAAGGATCGAGGATCAGGTCTGCATTGTGCCCAGGAGCCTTCAGCGCAGCAACGTGCTGCAGCGCCTGGCAAGCCTTTCTAAAGCATAGAAACAAAAGTCCAATTGATGGGCACTCGTCTTCAAAGGATCTTTTTAATGCAACACAGCCTGAATGTTGACTTCTTTTTTTTAAAGAGTTCAGCCTAATAATTTTAGTTTGCCTGACTGCGATTTTTATGGCAATAGAGCAATCAACTGACCCTCTTCTAATAGTCAACGAGCTGTCTGCCTCCCTGTTTGCTTTAAATGGTACCACTCACTCACTCACTCACTCACTCACTCACTCACTCACTCACTGGTCGTTTACCCCCATGACTGGGCCTGGCACCTTGTCACGAGTCATTGTGTTGGTTTGCAGGCTCAGATCTCTTCCATTGGGCTGTCCCTATAGCAGCATCAGACTCTTCTTGGTTGCTGTTGCTTTAGAGCACATTCTGAAATTGAAGCCTTCCTACTTTGCCTTTAAGAAGGTGTCTTTGAAGATGACATGGAATTAAGTGCACAAAAAGTGCAAGGAGTTGTAAGTGCTGGCGTGGGTTTGTGACTCCTCTGGCAGTGGAGAGAAGGATTCCCCACCCACTATTATTACTAACAGGTGGGTGAATGCCTGCCCAATTTTACAGTTTCCCATGAACTTTTCTGGCAGTTGAATAGAATGAGAGTATGCATCCATCAGGTTCTCTAACCTGAGTTAAGATTTACACAGTGTCATGTGCCCTATTTTCCAATAAGTCCTAAGCTTAGAAAAAAAGCATTTTAGGTACAACATAGCAGGAGGGATTTTTTTATTATTATTTTTTAAGCTGGTGACGCTGTTCGTGATTTCAGAGCTTTGATTCAGTAAGAAGTATTTGCAGGGGTGGTGGGGAAGCTTTTTCAGAAAGTAGACTCAGTCAAGTGCACGGAGCCCGCCCTGGTGGCGCAGTGGTTAAGTGCCCCCATGCTAGCCCGCCCATTGACTCTGCCCCGTAGGGTAGCTCCGACTGGATCCGACGGTGTCTGGGGGGTCAGTGTGGGTTTGGTGTGCGTCTGTTCAAGCCTGTTTCCCTGCTTGCTTCCCACAGGGCTCTTGGGGATCCGGAAAGGACCAGTATAGCCGGGAGCTGCTCGTCTCCTCCATCTTCGCTGCTGCCAGTCGCAAGCGGAAAAAGCCCAAAGAGAAAGCCCAGCCCAGCAGCTCGGAAGACGAGCTGGACAATGTCTTCTTTAAGAAAGAACACGCCCCGCAGGGTCAGGATGACCGTGGAGGAGAACCCAAGAAAGAGGGCGCGATGGCGGGCAGAAAGAGCAGTGCCAACAAAGACGCGGGCACCACCCACGAGAAGGCCTCGCTGCCTTGCACGGATGGCGCGCCCCCTGGGGAGTCGCCCACGGGCAGCGGCCACCTCACCCGGCCCAGAGAGAGCCCCAGGTCGCTGGCGACACCGAAGTCCTCCCCCTTCGCAGAGACCGGGTCCGACTCCGGCACGCTGCTCAGCCTCTCTTCCCAGGCCTCCCAGGCCAGGTGTGGTGCGCCCAGGAAACCCACCAGCCCCGAGACGAAACCCGGCGAGTTCGTGGTGCACGTCGGGCCCGCCACCTCCGACGACCCCACCGCGTACTTGACCTGCCTGGACTCGAGCCGGCTCAGCCCGGAGGTGCAGTCGGTGGCCGAGAGTAAGGGCGACGAGGCGGACGACGAGCGGAGCGAGCTCATCAGTGAAGGGCGGCCCGTGGAGACGGACAGTGAGAGCGAGTTCCCCCTCTCCCCGACGGCCTTGACCGCCGAGAGGCCGCCCCGCGGCGGAGCGGCGGGCGCGGCCCGGGCGAGCCGGAGGAACTCGGAAGGCAGCGAGGTCAGCGGGACCGAGGGCAGCCTGACCCCGAGCCTGGACAGCCGGCGGCAGCTCTTCAGTTCCCATAAACTCATCGAATGCGACACCCTTTCCCGGAGAAAGTCGGCCCGGCTCAGGTCGGACAGCGGGCTTCTGGCGGACGCCAAGACGGAGAGAGACGCCCCGTCGGTGACCACGAAGGTGCTCGACGTGATGAAGCGAGGCAAGTCCACGGGGAGCTTGCTGACGCCGGCCAGGAGCGAGCCCGAAAAGCAGGAGCCCACTTGGAAAACCAAAATAGCCGACCGGTTAAAACTGCGGCCCCTCCGAGCGCCTGCGGACGACATGTTCGGGGTGGGGGATCCCAGGTTGAGCGGGGGCGCCGCCAAGAGGAAACACATCAAGCGCAGGCACACGCTAGGCGGCCACCGGGACGCTGCGGACATGAGCGTGCTGAGCTTTTGGAAAGCGCAGGAGCAGAGCAGCGAGCGGGAGGCCGAGCTCTCCGCCGTGAACCGGTTAAAGCCCAAGTGCTCAGCGCAGGACCTCTCCATCGCAGACTGGCTGGCGCGGGAGCGCTTGCGGCCCGGCGCGTCCGACCCGCGCAGAGGAGACCTCGGGGACCCCCGGCTGGAGAAGGCGCCCAGCACCTTCCCAGCGCCCGCGGCGGACGGCGCGCAGCCGTTCCCGCCCCAGGCTCGCAGCTCGCCCACTAGCTCAGCCGCGACGAACAGGACCCGTCGTCCCACAGCACCGCCGCCGTCGCCAGACCACATAAATGGAGAAAGCTTCCAGAATGCTGGCTGTGCCTCGAAAGCCCAGCCTCACGAACTGTCTGAAGCCCCGGGCAGTACAGCACCTGCATCCCTGCCTTGAAGCTGGGGGTCTGCCCCCTCGGGCAAGTAAACAGCTACGTTCCTGGAACTCTGTACATAGGTCCTTGTACCAGAATTGTGATTACGCAGCCGTCATTGGGTTGCTTTCGTGATCTTGCACTGTGAAATGGCTTTACAGTGCATTTCTCCAGCCAGAAGAACATATAAATAAATATATATATATATGTATTTAAAGATATATTGCATAGTTGTACACAAATAAAATATTTGTTGCAACTTACTACATAGTGTATACCCAAGATTACTGAAGAAAATCGCTGGCATTTACGATGCCGCAAATTTGTTCTTCGGTTTCATCAGTAACAAAAAGTGCCTCATCATTAAACAACAAAACACACACGCGCGCGAGCATTTGGTTTTTAGGTGCCATATTGTTAAAGTTAGATAGCCGACCTTGAACAAGTGAATGCGTTGCTTGGTAACAAGTTCCGTTCCGTTTACCAGTTTTCACACAGGCGGACACAAACCGTGCTTTCTTCAGTCATTCCAGTGGATCTCTTCAGTTTTATATCCAAACTTTTAATACTGTTTTTTGAGTTTTGTGTGACTTGAATTTTTAATCTTTCTGTAAAATAAGTAACTTAAATGAACATATTCTATGTGTATCTTTTCTTCAGATACTAGATTTGATATAAATGTTGTAATATAGGTGTGTAGATAGTGGATCCTGGATGGAACTGGCTGGCTTCTTTCGTGAAGAGAATATAATTCTGCATGAGGACTTAGGAATCCAAACCTGTGTCATGCCTGTGCGCATACCCAATTAAACACTGGAAATAAAAAAAATTGTTTTGGTGAACTTTGAATGGCCTGAAACTTAATTTTACTGGTATACATTTTAAAGGTCACATGTTCATAACTGCTTTTGATTAATCAGTCCAGGATTTTAAAAAATTACCCGGTGGCGCAGTCAGGCAAGTGTTAGACTGCGAACAGCAAGGTTGGCGCTTCAAACCCACCAGCTACTCCATGAGAGGAAGAGCAGGCTGTCCACTCGGGTGTACAGCCTCGGGACCCCTGTGTGGGGTCGCTCTGAGTCAGAATGGACTCTCGGGCAGTGCCTTTGCTTTGGGCTGGGTGTCTATATTCCCTCTCTCCTCTTTTCTGCAGGCATCCCTTCTACAACCTCCAGGTCCAACGTTTCTAGCTGAAGTAGCGTCTGCTGTTGATCTTTTTTGTAGGGGACTGAGTGAACATGCATTAGAAGTCAAACAACTCCACATTTCCCAGATACATGAACTCAGACCAATGGTTTTTAATTTGTCTGAATTTGTTTCTTCAAATAAGCCAGGACAGTAATGGTACCTATCAGGAGGGTGGGTCCGTGTTGGGCTGGTGACCACAAGGTCGGTTGGGGGTTCAAACCCACCAGCTACTTCTCTGGAGAAAGGAGCCAGACTGCTCCAATGACGATGGACAGTCTCGGACGTTCTGGGGAGCCGTTCTACTCTGTCGTATGGGTCACTGTTAGTTGATCTCAGTTCCGTTGAGTGGTGGTGGCAGTGGTGGGCTCTAAGGGCGATTATTAGTTGTGAGATGGTGTTCCAAATACAGTGCCTGCCGCACACCAGCTGCAGTGTATCAGAGCTGCCGCACACCAGCTGCAGAGTGTGGCAGAGTCGCTCTTAGAAATATTGGGGTCACTTTTTGGAAAGTAAGGGGCTTTAAGAAATTGAGTCCAGTGGTTCTCAACCTCATATTCCCTAGTTGTAGAGAAGTAATTTTTTTAATTTCACTTTATCCTGAATTGACATTCATATATATTTCCCTGTATTGATGTATTTGGTATATCATAGAATTTGTAATGTAATAAAGTAGCAAATAAAGTCGTATTTCGCTAGGTAAATGCTCTTGTAGAACTACATTACATAAAAAGGAAGGCATCAGATGGTTGCCCCAATATATCGAGTCACTAGCAATGTACTAACTACAGATGGAGACTCTACCAAGAGTAGGCTTCTGGTTGCTGGGGCGACCCTTAGGAGAGGTCAAACAAGGTTAGTTTATATTGTAGGTGCGTCCCTGGAAATTGAAGTGGAATATTAAAAACCATCAAAAATACTACAAGTGAAAAAGGTAGGTTCAAGGCTCAAATAATTTCTCTTTGTTTCCTACTTTTCTTTTGGTTTACTGTGTATTTTCTAACTTCTTAACATCGCTGGTTTATTCACACATTTTCAGTCTTTCTAATAGCAGTATTTTAATCCTATAGTAATATTCATTTTTACTATTGCTTTTCAAAACAGTCTCATGTTTGGGGTGGTTTTTCTTTTCTTCTGCTGCTTGTTACATCGTTTCATTTTTTCGTTCTTTAACCTGTGGAGTACCTACAAGTGTTCTGCTTAATTTCCAAACATTTGGAGGTTTGAAAAAAACGATGTCTACCATATAATGTCACATGCTCATTAAACGTACTCTGATCATTTTAACTCATTTGAAATTTAGCATTCTATTATGACCCACATATAGTCAAATTGCATATAATCAAATTTGATAAATGTTCTATGCCTGCTTGAAAGAGTGCATTCTGTCATTATTGGATGCTGTATTATGTTGATCAGTGATTAAGTCAAGTTTAGTAATCAATTTCAGATCTGCAGTAGCTTTACTGATTTCTTATCTGGATCTTAAGACTAAGTTTTTAAGAGGTGATGAGGTCTCACGATTGTAGATTTGTAAACTTCTTTCATTCCTATCAAAATTTACTTAATGTGTTTTGAAGTTAGTCTTTTTAAAAAGCCCAAACTTGGCTGCCAATGAGCCGTTTCCGGCTCAAAGCGACCCTATAGAGCAGGGTGGAACCAGCCCAGTGGGTTCCCAAGACTGTAACTCTTTACAGGAGTAGAAAGTCTTGCCTCTGGTGGTTTCAAACTGCCGGCCTTGTGGTTAGCAGCCCAGTGTGTAGTCTTGGTGCTACGAGGCGCCTGTGAAGTTAGTCGAAGGGCTATGTAAATTCAGAATTGTTCATGGGGCACTGGTGGTTTAGTGGTCGTTTCAACCCTCTTTGCGAGAGACCTGATTCGGTCCCTGCCCACGCACCCCTTACACAGCCACCACCTGTGTGTCAGTAGAGGCAGCGTGTCACGCTGTGATGCTCAGTCGGTTTCAGTGGAGTTCCCACACTAAAATGGGCTAGGAAGTAGGACCTGGCCGTCTACTTCCAAGTCACTGGAACAGTCCAATCTGCAACCGTGGGGATGGGCGGCAGGGCAGGGTTTGTTTCCTTGCCCCCTGGGGGCCACCATGAGCCAGGGACTGATTTCGTAGCAGCTAACAGCAAAAGTCTCCAATCCTAATTTTAGGTCTTCATTTTCGTTGTTGTTTTCTTATGTTGACGATACATAAATTTGGATTTTATTTCATATCTCAGTTCACTGAAGTTCCTCTTGCCATTGATGTCTTTTGAACATACAGGCTAGAGTTATTTAAAATTTGCTTCAGAAAACTTTGATAACTGGGCCCCCGCCCCCCATCAAACAAATGTCAGGTGTGTATTTTTAAAAACAGACAGCAATAAGCTCGCTATGTTTGTAAGACTGGCGTCTCTCTAACTCAGCCCCCAGGAGGTGCATCGTTCTTGGCATGTCTGAGCACCCCGGCTTGTCACCTGCAGCAAGCTCCCCAACTCACCCACCTCCTGGTGGTCCTTGCTTTTAAGCCTTTTCACCTTGACTCTGAACAACCTACGAGTTTGAAAAATCCCTCAAAGGGGAAGTCCCCAATACGGGGTTCTCTTCTCTAAGCCACGATGCTTATGAGTTTCATGTATTTTGGGGGGTTGGGGATGGGGACAGGGGGTAACTTTCCATGGTGATGAGTGGGAGTTACGGATTTCTTTGAACCTTTAGATGGTGAGTTGGGTGAGAGTGTACAGAGCATATCCGTTTTCCATTGAACAGTTTACACGCATTTTGTGTCATCTCGTTGGTTACAATCCCCACAAGGTAGCAACCATCCGTTTCTTCCCTGTCTCTCTTTTCCATTCCTCCTTCCCGGCCCCTTCTGAATGTTGCCCTTGGACACGTGTCCTTTTGTTCTCATATGGCTGCTTATTCTAAGGTCTGAGAAACCTTTTTTATTGTTCCCTTCATAGGCCTGTGCATGGTTCAGACGAGCCACGGGAGTGAACTCATTTCCAGGCCTGAAAAGTGACTAAGGGGTTCCCCCAGTACTTATTAGCCCAGTATGTCTGATCACTCTGATTTTGAGTTCTGTTCTACATGTTTCTCCCCTTCTATCTCAGACTTTCTAATGTAATCCCTTTCAGAGAAGTTGATACCGGTTGGTGGGCACCATCGATTGCTGGTCTCAGGGCCACAAAGACTGACGCTCGCATGGTACTAAGTGTTTTCCTGCGGCTTCCATATACTCCACGCTACTCTTCCCCAGCGCAGAGACCGATAGTTGCTACTCACCAGAGTATGTAGGATATAAAAAGGCTGTTCCCCAACTCGTCTCCCCCAAATATATGTCAGACCTAGGACACTGCTTGCAACTAATGATCAATGATTGTCAAGATATTCTCCCTAAAGGCATCAGCCATCCAGAGCAAGCAGACTACTGACTGTATGGCCCACCGTAGGTGGGGCTCACACCCTATTGATAAGCATAGTAATTGTTTCCCTGGAGAGCTCAGAATAGGTCCAACCAGCTCAGTGACATCTAAGGTTAGGCTGCCATCCTGAATCTAGTATCCACCCATCTTGTCACATGTGTACCCCTAATCCCTCCTCTTCCTATAGCCTATACACCCCTAGATTGTCCCATATCCATAGCTATTGCCTATGGTACAACCCCTTCCAGTGACATAGGTCATTACCTGTAATCGGGCTTGCACGCCCCCAAAGATACATATAAGCCTTGGTTAGAAATAAATCACTCTTCCCTCCTGCCCGCTCCTCCTCCCACATTCCCACGTGGACCACCAAGAAGAGCAGAGGTGAGCATGCTACCATGAAAAGTGTCTGACTCCTCTATCTTACTCTCCTATCTGCAATTGTCTATGACTTCATTGTAATCTTTGTATGTCATAACCATACAGTTGCGCTTATGAACCCGTGATTGTGTTAGGGGCTGGTCTCCCCTCGCAAGAGTAGGCTTAAAACAATGTCTTTGTGGACTGCATTCTACAACCTGATCTTAATGTTGCCCCAAGATGGTAGTCATGAGCCCCTGCGACCGGGAGCTCCCCATCCTGGTGTTTCGTGCATGCTTGTGTTCCTCAAGGAGTTTGGTTCTATCTAAAAAGTTTTCCCCCTTGTATTCTCGACCATCTACATACATCTATTTGCAGCAAAGGTAAATTAATAGACATATGTGTCCTCTGTCTAGCCTATATATGTTTATTAGCATATTCCCATTCTCCCACCCTTCCCCACTTAGCCTGCATGTCTGCCCATGCGTCTACGTGTCACACACTTATTGCAGGCTTGTGAACGTAGCAGCATTTGCCTTGGCCGTTTAACTCAAACCCTTCCCAGTGTCTGACCGCGCTCTTAACTGTGCGTCACCCAGCTTAACCAGTGGTGCCATCAGGGACGTGCCAGACTGCTATCTAAAAAGGTCAGTGGTCCAGGCTCCTTGGGAGGATGATGCGGGCATCCGTGCCGTAAAGATTTGCAGCGTCAGAAACGCCATGTAGGGTCACCGTGAGTCAGGGTCTACTTGATGGCGGGAGGTTGGTAGGTTTGGTTATTCTCTAACTAATCATTGGCTCACCACTGCACTCCTGGTCACCATGAAAGAATGTGTCTGTGGGGTGACTGCGGTGGCATGCACCTGGCGCCTGTTCTGTGAGGGAGCACCA